GAAAAAAAAAAAAAAAAAAAAAAAGAATAATAATAAGTAATTAAAACGACCTTATCCTTTCGATGATCGGGCGGCAAATCTCCTCGAGTGCTCGTCTTTTCTTGTTGTACTCTTCAGGATCTAATAACAGCTGCTCCTGATTCTTATCGTCCTCGTCGAAGGATCCCCTCTCCATCCACCTTTCCGCCGATCCCAGTGCCAGCTCAGCCGTGCGGATCTCTTCGTTTCCCGCCACCAGCGAGAACCTTCGCCGAACTTTCTGTATGTAAGCCATCAGATCGTACTTGGCCGTCGTTCTCTCTAACAACGCCTCATCAGCCGCTCTGGACTGCTTGGCCTCTTCGACGATGCGCGACACATCCTTCTCCGACATATTTAACCAATAACTGCTGAGAGTGGATCGGACAGATCTGCCCGTGGTCTGATCAACGAGCGTGCCGGTCAAGATCCCGTCGGAGTCGATCTCCAAGATGCATTGAACGGGGACACGTTCAGTGGGACTGCCCGGGGGTCCCGGCTGCAGGCCTTCAAGCAGAAGCGTCCCCAGCAGCTGATTCTCCTTGGCCCATTCCCGCTCCCCCTCGTGCACGGGGAAGGCGAAGGCGGTCTGACCGTCGTAGCCGCCACGTGCTTGCACTACCTTCTTCGTCGGGTAGGGCGTGTTTCTGGGGATCATGCGGACGAACCTTCCCCGACAGTTGCGGAATCCGATGCTGAGAGGGGTGACGTCAACGACGCAGAGATCGCTCATCTCCCGCCGGATGTCGCCGGTCATCATGGCCGCGCAGACGGCGGCGCCGTACGCCACGCACTCGTCGGGGTGAATGGACTTGGACGGGTGTTTCCCGCCAAAAAAGCCCGCCAGCATCTCCTGAATCATCGGGATCCTGGTCGATCCTCCCGCCAAAATGACCTCGGAGATGTCCGCCCTGTCCAGCTTCGCCTCGCTCACCGCCTTCTCCACGAGCTTGATGCAGCGCGCGAACAGGTCCGCGCACAGCTCCTCGAATCGGGATCGCGACACCTCCATGTGGAAGTCGATCCCGTCGCACAGCGAGTCGATCTGCGTGGTCGCGCAGGGGGAGAAGGACAACTGGTGCTTCAGCTCCTGACAATGGTATCGCAATCGACGCAATGCCCGTTGATTCTGACGCACATCGATCCCGTGATCAAACTCGAATTCCCGCGCAAAATGCCGCACCAATCTATCGTCCACGTCCTCCCCGCCTAAATGGGTGTCTCCGGCCAAAGCCACAACCTCGTACCGATCACCGTTCACACGCATGATTGACACGTCGAACGTCCCTCCGCCCCAATCAACGACCATCACCGTCCGATGGGGCAGATCCATTACCGAGGGTCTGAACCCTAACGGCCCCGAGGAGATTCCGTTAACCCTAACGGCGTAGGCGATGGCGGCCGCCGAGGGCTCCGTAATCAAGCGCAGCACCGTTAGTCCCGCCCGAACGGCCGCCTGCTTTGTGGCCATCTTCTGAGATTGATTGAAAGTGGCGGGAACCGTAATCACGGCATTATTGATTTGACAGTCGAGGGAGGCTTCGGCGATTTCCTTCATCTTCCTTAATAGCATCGAGGAGATCTCTTCGGGCGAGATCGTCCTTTTCTCACCACAACATTGCACGCTGACAAGTGGTCCCCCCGTCTCCAGACACCGGATCACCTTGAACGGCCACGTGGCCATATCTTTCTGCCAATGCACGATCAGATCGTCGAAGCATCGCCCTATCATCCTCTTCGAGTACAGGACCGTATTGGCGGCATTGCTAGCAGCTTGATTGAGTGCGCTGTTTCCTACGAGTACCCCCGATCGAGTGAAGCCTACGCAGGAGGGGGTGGTTCTATAGCCCTGATCATTGGGAATGATCTCGACGCCGTTGTGGCGCCAAACAGCGACGCAGCAATTAGTGGTGCCCAGGTCGATGCCGATGGCGGGGCCGGCAAAAGCGGAGACAGGAGGGGTAGCGCGAGGGGAGAGGAAAGGAAGAGGAGGAGGAGGAGGAGGAGGAGGACAATGGGAGGAGGGCAAGTCGGGAAGGCTGAGGGGAATCTCAACCGCTGGCGGAGGGAGGGGGAAAGGCGGTAGCGGGGATCCCAAGCCGCCGCGTGGGGATGGCAGCGGGGGGGGCGCCGATCCCGCCGCCCCCCGCGGGGATAGCAGGGGCCTCGATCCCGCCCCCCGCGGGGAAGCCAGCGGCGCCGGAACCTGTCGCGGAGAAGCCAGCGGCGCCGATATCGGGCGCGGGGATGCCAGCGGCGCCGATATCGGGCGCGGGGATGCCAGCGGCGCCGATACCGGGGGCGGGCGCGCGGATCGTGGTGGGATCGGCGATCCCGACCGAGATGCCATGACCGTTTTTGCAAGCCTTTCAGCCTTCTATTCACCAACCACCAAGTGTCTAATTAATTAATTAATTGATTAATTAATTAATTAATTAATTAATTAATCTAGTAAATCGCCGAATAGCGAAGGAGGACATAGAACGGAAGAACCACAGAAATATAGGAGAAGAGATTATATTGCCGTTTAGCTGCAGAACGGGGAGGACAAAAAGGGGACAGAGGACGGGCGATGTGGGGGGGGGAGCGGGGGGGGGAGCGTGGCGAGAAAGAAAACGCGAGAAACCATATCCCAAAGCTGACCGAGATAGAGACCCTGATCAATCGACCGATCTAATCAGCAACAAGGAATCGATCAACCAACCAATCAGTCAATCAATCAATCAACCAATCAACCAATCAATCAATCAACATACAAGAGGACATAATTGCGAGCGCGAGGAGGATCAGAGGCAAGTGGAGAGAGTCGGCGAGAGAGAAAGAGAGAGAGAGAGAGAGAGAATGACAGAAGAGGGAAAAGGAAGAGGAGAGAGGAGAGAGACAGGAGAGAGAGAGAGAGAGAGAGAGGAACACGCGCCCTTCCGGTTCACGCCTCGCTCAGTAGATCGATGTCATCGGTGATTGATCGCCTAACAACCGACCGAGAGAGAGAGAGAATGACAGAAGAGGGAAAAGGAAGAGGAGAGAGGAGAGAGACAGGAGAGAGGGAGAGAGAAAGAGGAACACGCGCCCTGCCTGTTCACGCCTCGCTCAGTAGATCGATGTCATCGGTGATTGATCGCCTAACAACCGAGTGCAGTTTATGAACAAATGAATCGGCGGGAAAGATGACGACAGAACACAGAGAGAGAGAGAGAGAGAGAGAGAGAGAGAGAGAGAGAGAAGAGAGAAGGAAGCAGCGAAAGACGGTCGGGACAGAAGGCACAGAAATCATCAGAAAAATTGCATGAGGACCAATCAGATTGATTGGTCTTCAGATCGACCAATCAGAGCTGACCAATCAGAGCTGACGAGTTCAGGGAGAACGTACTTCAGATCGACCAATCAGAGCTGACGAGTTCAGGGAATATTCCGGAGATTAGTTTTTTTTTTTTTAATAGAAAAATCCGCAAAATAAGAATTAGCACAAAAAGAACCTGATTGAGATCTCGACCAATCAGCTAACTTGCGATCATACGAATTGTTTGGGATCGCATTTGGATATTATTTTCGATTTGGAGAATCCAAAAAATCAAAAATCATTTAAAAATGTCATCAGACAATTACACGAAGAGAGCCGTCATCAGAAAAATCCGTCGGAGAAGTAGAAAAGAGTTCAATGAAGAGAAATCCGTCGCCGTTAAAAAAAAAAAAAAAAAAAAGTCTACTGAAACACGAGATAAGAGAGATACCCTGCTCTCTTCAACTAACCATCTTCCACCACTTAAAACAAGGTGCCAATCACTTAACGAACGAACCAATCAATCGACAAACGGTCCGAAGAGGAGAGGTAACAAAGAAGCAGCCGATCGACAATTAATTATTACTGTTATTAATTAATTATTACTAGTAATTAAACTGACGACATCTGTCCTCTCTTACAGAAACCGTTCATCATCGTATTTTCTCCGCCCCTCCTTTCCCGCCAAAACGGTTTCCTACACAGCTCCCGCGCTTTCTTTCCCTCTCCTTTCTGTCCCGATCCTACTCACCACCTCCCCCATCCCTCCCCTCCTCCCCCCCCCACCACCACAAAAGGCACAAGCATCCACTGCTTATGATATCTTAGGAGCCCTCCTGAGTTCCGTTTCCTTCCCTCCACATCTCCCGCTTCTTCTTCTTCTTCTTCTTCGACCTCTTCTTCGACCTCTTCTACCTCTTCTTCTTCTCAGTAAGACGGAAGGATAGACGGTGGGGCCGTAAGGCAGTGTTATGAGGTTAGCCCCCTGAGGATGATCGGAGCGCAACCGATCGCAACGCGTCGGGGACTGTGCGCGTAAGCTGAGATGAGTATGCGCGGATTTGCAATGAAGAGTTTTCGATGCGTGTACGAAAGGCAGTTGGCCACTGTTTATCACTATTCTTCTTCTTCTTCTTCTTCTTGCCTCTTCCTGTTGCAGAGACCGACAGACAGAAAACTTTCAGCTCAACCTACCTGCCTGCCCCTCCTGTTCTTCTTTCGCAATGGAGGGCGTACTCACACTAGCAATATCTTAAATGTATCTGACCGCATTTACGGCAGCCGTCGGATGCACCTGGCCACAATTCCGTCCCGAAATGAGTTAAAAAAAGCTGTACTGTGAGTATGCCCTGAGGCTAGAATGCGCGGCATTCTACCGATGATTTCGTGGAGCGTGTACGTGTAGTGTGAAATGCAGTTGGGCCCCTGTTTTCACTATTTCACTACACTCTACTGTTTTCACTATATTCCTTGTTCCTCCTCTTCCTCATTGCTCAGTGGCTGGACAAGCAGGTTGTTGCCATCATAAAGGCGTATCCGGGGGGGGAGACGACCCCCGATCCCGGCGGAGACGGCCTTCCGATCTTGACTGAAACGTGCGTAGGGCACAATCAGAGCGTTTTTTCTTCTGATCCCTAGTGCATGGTTGATTGTTTGGTTGATTGATTGGTTGATCTTGGTATGAAATGGAAATTTTTTAATCGAAACGGGCAACGAAAGACAGTCTTTGGCCTCTGTTTATCACTATTCCTCTTCACATTTTCATCATCTTCATCTTCCGTTGCACATCTTCCTCTCTTCTCGTTCGTCTTGCCCTTTTTTAAGAAGCCCCAGATATCAAAAACCGTTCAATCTATACCTTAACCCGTCCTGGCCTCTTTCCCTGCAGGCTCTAAAAACTTTCCCCACCCTTTCCTCCCTCTTTCCCTGCAGGCTCTAAAAACGTTTCCCGCCCTTTTCTCCCTCTTTCCCTGCCGGCTCTAAAAACTTTTCCCGCCCTTTTCTCCCTCTTTCCCTGCCGGCTCTAAAAACTTNTCCCTGCCGGCTCTAAAAACTTCTCCCGCCCTTTTCTCCCTCTTTCCCTGCCGGCTCTAAAAACTTTTCCCGCCCTTTTCTCCCTCTTTCCCTGCAGGCTCTAGAAACTTTTCCCGCCCTTTTCACTATTCACTATTCGTCTTCCCTGGCCTTCAGATACCAACAGAAAAATCACTGCTTTCTACCTACCTCCTCCTCCTCTCCTCCCCCTCCTCCTTTCTCCCTCTTCCCCGCCTTCTCCTTCATTCTAATCTCGGCGAAGACACGTCGTCCGAGTACTCTGCGGCCTAAATCGCGACACGTGGATTTCTTTTTCTTTTTTTTTTGCCACGTGGATTTCTGATATACTATACTAATTGTAATAACACGTGTTGCATTATTCTACGAGATGCGTGTTTGATGATAGCGTCTTAGAGCATATACTATACTACTCACATTAAAGCACATTCTTAAATCTATCTGACCTAAATTACGGGCCAAAAACTTGGATGCATCCGACCGCAATTCCGTCCAGAACTAACAGAAAAAGTCCTACTGTGAATATATATCAAGTATGTCCTTAAAGTTGACCGTTGGGTTTAATTATTCGTCTTCGTTCTCTTCACGGGATTTAAATTTAAAAAAAAAAAAAAAAAAAAAAAAACTTATTCGTTGTCCCCTCACACAAAACCACGGAATTCTTCGTCGGCGTCTTGAAGAAAAAGCAACAACGTTTTATAAACTTCTTAAAAACTCTTCTTCATCACGGTCTTCTCAAAGACAAGCTGTCGCCATTTCCCACATTTGTGTGCTCCTCCCTCTCCTTCTCCTCCTTCTCATCTTCCTCACCTTCTTCGACTTCTACTCTCCCTCCTCCTCCCATCCTCCTCCTCCTCCTCCTCCTCCTCCTCCTCCTCCTTCTGCCATTCTCCTTCAATCTTCAGACTTTTCGTCGGCCTCTTACAGAGATGATGATACCGATACTCCACGAAGCTTCCCCTTCCTCTTCGCTTTCTTCACAGAGATACTTCAGCGATACTTCATCGAGTCTTCCACTTCTCGATGATGACAATACTCGGCTTTTCGTCGGCCTCTTGCAGGATTGCCCTTCTTCTTACTCTTTCTCTTCACAGCCACCTCTTCTTCCTCCTCGTCCTCCTCCTCCCTCTCCCTGAAAAAGTGCGGATGTCAGGTGATTAGTGTTCCCCTTAATTCCTATTCTCCTTCTTCATCTGCATGCAATCCTACTCTTCACATTTCCCTGTGCTCATCGACTAGATAGCTCTACTATAGATATGCAACCGTACTTTCACCTGTTCGGTTCCTCCTCTCCTCCCCCTGCCTCCCTCTCCCTCCCTCCCTGGGTTCCTCCTCTCCTCCCCCTGCCTCCCTCTCCCTCCCTCCCTCGGTTCCTCCTCTCCTCCTCCTGCCTCCCTCTCCCTCCCTCCCTCGGTTCCTCCTCTCCTCCACCTGCCTCCCTCTCCCTCCCTCCCTCTCCTCCTTCCTTCTTACACGCTCCCACTTCTTTATCCTATCAGGCCTGAAGCAACTTCTTACACGCTGCAACCGTCTGCGCCCCCCTCCCGCGACATGAAAAACCTGCTTGGCCGCTAAAAGACGAGCCGACATCGAATGTTCAGTGATGCTTCGCCATTCCTTCGGTGCCAAAACATAATTCAGTCTCGAAACGCCTTGTGCTAACGTCACCTATCAATCAATCAGCCAATCAATCAATCAACCAATCAATCAACCAAGCAATCAATCAATCAGTCAATCAACCGGAAGTGGGCAAAACAGTAAGCCATCGACACGTGGCCATCAAGTGCAACAGAGTGCCGCGTGAACCGGCTGCACACCGAGCGACAAGTACACACGCGAACACAACTCGTACTGCTGTGAAGGGGATGAGACATCTCTGCTCCCCTCCTCCCTCCCTCCCTCCACTCCCTCCCTCCCTCCCTCCAATCCCTCCCTCCTCCCTTCCGGAGCGCTTGTCAGCGCAACTCGCACTGCGCCTTTCTCGGACTGAATCTGGTCGTGATGTGATCAGATAGTGCGGCGTGTAATTCAATTTCGCTCTTTACCACAGGACTCTCCCAGGCCCACTGCTTCTTGCCGCCTACAACTTCCCGACTCCAACTAATTCCACCCGTCAACATCAATACCACAACAAGAAA